AAGGTGCTCTCAGGAGACCTCCCCAGACGGCCTCCAGAGGCCAAAATTTCCCGGATCCCTTTTTGGAACACGGGCATTTTCAGTATCTTCGCATTCAGCGCCCAGGGCAGCGCCAAACGCTCCCAAGATCGCCCCAAGACGGCCCAATAGGCCCCCAGGAAGGCGCCAAGACGGCCCAAGAAGGCCCCAAGCCAGCCCGGGAATCGCCCAAGACGGGCCAAAACGGCCCCAAGAGAGTTCTAAGAGGCACTGGGATGGGCCCAGGACGGCCCTAGACACCCCAATATGGCCCCAAGAGCGCACATGAGACAGGCTTCAAGAGCCTCCAAAGAGCCGGTTCGGGGCACCCGAACCCTTTGAAAGACTTGCGGACAAGCGAGCGCATTTGCCTTCTCATATTTTTTCTCTGTCGACGCGCCGCTCGGGCCTCCAAGTCGCCCCCAAGAGGCTTTGGAAGACCTTCGACCTTCCCGAAAGGCGCCCGAGAGGCCTCGACAAGCCCCACGGGATCCCCCAAGAACCACCCAAGGGACGCCCCAAACGTCCCCAAGACGCTGTCGCTTTTCGCCCCAATGATGATGAGCAGGAGGTGGAGGACAGAAGTGAGTTGGATGCTGAGGTCGCCTCTAGAAAAGCCCATCGAGGCCCCAAGATGGTGATTTCCGTGTGGCTTCCGAGGTCCCCCCCCAAGATGGCTTCCGACGCGACCATCATGTCCTCAAGAGGCCTTGACAGGACCCCAACATGACCACCCACATGGCCTCCAGATCCAATATGTAATTTTCTTGATTTTTCCATTGAAATTCACGTGTTCGCTTTTTTTGAAAAGCCTCAGACGACCCAAGCGGTCCCTCCGAGGCCTCCAATATTCACGCCTTCAAGAAGCTCCCTGGACCCTCAGTGACCAACAGTCCTCGAAGTATATCCTGTGCTCTCCCCCGCGAGCCTCCTCTTGAGCGCTCCTCCTGGACCCTCCTTCCTTTCTGAACCCTCATTTCCAAATATCTTCGGAACCCCTCCTCATCTCTCCTCATCCCGCTGACTCCGCAGTTCCCACCTGGGCCTCCTGCTCCGGCGTCTCCCCCACTGCTCATGGTATTGCTCATGCCGCAGCTGATGTCCTTTGGGGCCCTCTGTTTCCTGGTTCTCTGCAGCAGCGTGTGCAGACTTACCTCCTGCCTCTCTGCTTTCCAAGTTCGCCTCCACAATCCGGTGTTCAGACGTTGTTCGAGTCTGCGCTAGAACCTGGGCGCGCGCGCGAAGCGCGCGCGCGCGTGGTTCTAGTATAGCGAATGTATATATATATATATATAGATATATGTTTACATGGCCACACGCATATTGATTTGCATGAGCGCTCAAGGTAAAGATTTGTGGCCAGTCACGTATGAATATGAAGGTCATTGTTCCATCGGGGGTTTATATATCGCTTGCCAGTGGGAAACCAGTTCACATATTTGCGCATGTGAAACTCAACGCAGCTCTTGGTATACACATGGAATGCCGGATTTCAATGGACACATGGCTTTTAGTATGGTTTCGATTACAATACCCGAATTCAATAGGAATTGAATTAACATATGGTTTAGGAGTTCAAGTAGTAGATGCGTACTCAATGGGGATCCACGTGCAGAATTAGTTTTCACTTCGGCATAAAGCTAGATATGCTTCCGATCGGAATGAGGAGGAGGAGGAGGAGGAGGAGGAGGAGGAGGAGGAGGAGGAGGAGGGAGAGGAGAAGGAGGAGGAGGAGAAGGAGTAGCAGGATGAAGGATGCTCTTCTGTCCTTGGTCTGGCCGTACCTCGGAGGGGGGGCGGATTCGGACGCGTCCATCTGCCGCTCCGCCCTGGGGGAGGGGGCCCGACCCGCCCGCGCGCGTGCGCGGCGGGCAGCGCCTCCCCAGGCGGCCCCCGCGCCGGCGCTGCTGGGCGCCGCGCCGCCCCCGGCGCCCCGCGGCGGGTCCTGGTGGACAGGCCTGTGCTTTCTGTATCGGGCCCTTGCCGCCTCGCATCCCTCGAGGAGGGGGAGGGGGGATCGGAGGAGGGAGAGGTATCCCTACCGCCACACTTGCCTCGGTTTCCCCCCTGTCTGGGCCTCATGGAGGCCCTCGTCGCCACCGCTGGATGCGCTTCGAAATCCCTGTCAGAACGCACCCGGGGAGGAGGAGGAGGAGGAGGAGGAGGAGGAGGAGGAGGAGGAGGAGGAGGAGGAGGACACTGCCAGAACAGGGCCACCACGTTTTGATGTTTTGAATCGCGTGTCGCTCCGCAGGTCCTGGCCCGCCAGGCTTCGGCGCGGCATGCTGTCCACTTCCTGGTCCCCAAGCATCAACGTCCCGAGCCTTTCCGAGTCTCCCGCCCCGCGGGGAGGAGCGACATAATAGCGTGTCGCCAGGGCCGCCGCCGTAACACGCTAAGCAAGAGTTTGTGCCCGTAAGGCCAGCAGCGCGCAGTCGGCGGCACCCCAACATACGGATACTATGTGTGCGTCCCCCCTCCAGGGGCGACGCGCGCACCGAGAAATCTTATCGTCTGTTCGTCGTGGCGAGCGCGTTCTGGCCGTACCGCGCAGGAGACGATGCACTACAAGACGGCTGTATCGTATGCTCGGCTCGGACGCACGCCTCCGAGGAGGGCATCTAGCACCAGCATGGCCTGCAGCGCCCCGTGCAGGGAGCAGAGCGGACGGGCGGGCCACCTCCCCCGTCTGCAGCCCACATCAGATGCCGAGAGATGAGAGCAAGGGCCGGCTGGCGACGAGCTCGCAGAGGCACGAGGCACGAGTGCCCATCGTCACGGTCGGCCGACGGACGCTTCGCGCGTGTGCGCCCGCGGCTTGCTTGAGAAAAGAAGAGGGGGAGAACGACCGACTCGGTGTTTTGGAAGGTCTCGAACGCGAGGAGGAGGAGGAGGAGGAGGAGGAGGAGGAGGAGGAGGAGAAGAAGAATGACCGAGTCGGTGTTTTAGAAGGTCTCGGGCGTGTCTGGCTCGTCTTGGTTCTCGGGAGAACCCGCGAGGAGGTCTCCTGGGCCTTTCGGAGAGGGAGGACGCTTGAGAAGCTTCTGGGTGATTCTGGCTCGTCCTAGGAGTTCAAAAGCCCTGGGCTCTGAAGTCGGGGCCCAGAGCTGTTCTGGGGCGCGTCCTAGCTGGAGCTTCGAGGAGGGGGAGGAGGAGGATTAGGAGGAGGAGCGAGGAGGAGGAGGAGGAGGAGGAGGAGGAGGAGGAGGAGGAGGAGGAGCAGCAGAAGCGAGGAGCGATGAGCGAGGAGCGAGGAGGAGAAGGAGGAGGAGGAGGAGGAGGAGGAGCAGGAGCGAGGAGGAGCGAGGAGGAGCGAGGAGGAGCGAGGAGGAGGAGGAGGAGGAGGAGGAGGAGGAGGAGGAGGAGGAGGAGGAGGAGGAGGTGGACAGGCCCGGTGCCTGCAGCGGGCCCCCGCCGCCTCCCATCCCTCGCAGAGGCGTGCACCCGGCCAGATGAACAAACAAGGAGGTGGGGCGAAAAAGTATCCCCAGGGAAGCGGTTGGGACTCCTGGGGCCGCGGATTGAGAAGAAGAACGTACGGTCGAGCATCGGATTAAGAAACCTCCTCCCGAGCCGCTGGGCCAGCGTTTCTTAACCAGCTCTCCAGACAGCCGGCCGGCAGTTTCCTGAGCAAGTTGGCCTTTCCAGCGTTTACAGCGGCATTGGCCCAGGCTCGTTTTCAGAAACTCCTGGGAAGCTGGCACAGATGTCTTCGACTGTCTGGGTTTCTTGAGCACAGTTTCGTCTGTATCGGTGGATGTCAGGGAGTGCTCCTCTTCACTGCGCGGAGCGCCCCCGTCAACAGCCGAGCGCCCCGTGGACCTGCCATGCAGGCGAGGCCCCGTCGTGTCAAGAAGCCACCTGCGTCCTTCCAGCTATAACGACTTCAATCGGCGGCGAGCGAAGTGGGGGAAGCGAGAAGGAGAAGGCCTTCCCACAAGGTGGCGAGGCTTCTCCGAAGCCCTCGCGCCTTCTGAGAGGCTCTGTGTGTTTCCGAGGAAGGCTCACAGTACTTCTCAGATCGCCGGGCGCGTTCCACTACCCGCAAAGTGCCTACTCGCAAACGTCCAGAACAAATCTGTCTTCCTCTATGTAGTGTATCGCACATCCCCCGCGGTGGATCCAGGCCGCTTGCGAGTAGCTACCTTGCGAGTCGTGGAGCGCGCTTGTCGATCCGAAGGGGACCTCCGAGCCTTCTGAGGAGGCCCGCCCCGTCTCATCTCCACCCCAGGCTCGCCGCCGATTCAAAGCGGCAGAGGCATGCACTTCAAGGGAGTGTCCAGCGGATGCTCCGCGTTGGAAAAGGAGGAGGAGGAGGAGCGAGGAGGAGGAGGAGGAGGAGGAGGAGCGAGGAGGAGGAGGAGTGAGGAGGAGGAGGAGGAGGAGGAGGAGGAGGAGGAGGTGTGAGGAGGAGGAGTAGGAGGAGCGAGGAGGAGGAGCGAGGAGGATCGAGGAGGAGGAGCGAGGAGGAGTGAGGAGGAGCGACGAGGAGCGAGGAGGAGCGAGGAGGAGGAGGAGGAGGAGGAGCCATCCGTGTGAGAGTTGCGCAGCGTTTGAGTTTTCGGCACACAAGTCCAGGAAGTCTCAAGTAGGAGCCCTGACAAAACGATGAACCGCTCTCCATCCGTGTAGCGCTTATTTCGTTTAAAGACGAACGCGCGCGCGGCGCCAAGGCGATAGTCCTATTCTCGACACGTCATGTGCTCCATCCGATAAGCTGTTGCTTTGCAACAAGATGTCTGCATGTGGCGCCATGGCGAGATCCCCATACCAAAAACGAGGTGTGCTCCGTCCGTATAGCTGTTAGAGTTTGCAAACTTCGAGGTCCGAATTTGTGCGGAGATCATAAGCGAAACGCCCGGCGCGCCCTGACGATACGTCGGGTTGTGTCATGCGGGGGAGTGGCTTATGAGGACGAGGCGTGGAGGATGAGGACGATGATGATGAGGACTAGGAGGAGCGGAAATTCCTTTTCAGATGGGGCGCTTGCCTGAGAAGCAAGCGCCTGTTGCGCTCGTCTTTCAAGGCGGCGCTCCTCGCAGTGTAAAGGAGGGCCTCCGCAGAGTCATCAGCAGGGGACTTGGGACGGGACGCTGTATCGCAGCTGAAGCGTCTTGGGCTTACTCAGATCCTCTTCCCTCCTCCCTCCTCCCTCCTCCATCTATCTCCTCCGTCCTCCTCATCCTCCTCCTCCCTCATCGTCCTCCTCCTCCCTCGTCGTCGTCCTCCTCCTCCTCGGCCTCGCGATTTGCACATGGAGCGCCAAGTCGCCCCGCGCGCGCGGCCCAGCGGCGCTGGCGGCACGTCGTTCCCCGCGAGGCGCCACGGAGGTCCTGTGAGGGGAACCGTGCCCCGAAGAGGGGCGCGGACGGGGGCGGCGCTGATGAGATGCTCCGGTGTTCAGGAGGGAATCACGTACACACAAACACGCACGCGCACGCACACGCACACGCACACCTACACACACACGCACACACGCACACACCCGCACACGCGCACACGCGCACACGCGCACACGCGCACACGCACACGCACACACGCACACACGCACACACGCACACACGCACACACGCACACACGCACACACGCACACACGCACACACGCACACACACGCACACACGCACACGCACACACGCACACACGCACACACACACATACACCGCGCGCGCGCACGCATGCACGCATGCACGCACGCACGCACGCACGCGCACGCGCACGCGCACGCGCACGCGCACACGCACTCGCACTCGCACTCGCACTCGCACTCGCACTCGCACACGCACACGCACACGCACACGCACGCGCACACCCACACCCACACACACACACACACACACACACACGCACGCACACACGCACACACGCACACACGCACACACGCACACACGCACACACGCAGACACACACACAGACACACACACACACACGCACACGCACACGCACACGCACACGCACACGCACACGCACACGCACACGCACACACACACACACACACGCTCTAGTCAGCGGCGCAGAGAGTCCTCAGGCACGGGCTGCAGATGGAAGTGCTGATTGCGATCGAGAGTAGTCGAACGCGGAGTGAACGAAGCGAGTCACACACACACACACATTCTCACACAACTAATCGTCAATTCCCTGGGACATTCGGAAAACCCAGGAAGCACAGGGGAACACGAGCATCCAGATGATGTGGAAGCGGTTGGGAACGTCTGGGAGGTGTGTGTGTGTGTGTGTCCATCTCTTGGCGTGCCCCTGGCCCCCTTTGAATGTCTTTCCTCCTGCTCCGCACAGCTCGTTGGATGCCCGACTGGCGGTGGCCTGCGGTGGAGAAGCCCCGCCCCTCCCTGCCGGCGGACGGCTCCTCCCCGCCGCACCGTGAGGGCGTCGGCAGGGCGCGAGGGCGCTGCAGGATCCCGCGGCCCCGGCGCCCGAGCGTTCCAGCAGCGGCGCGGGTGGGCGGCGGGCGGTCTTCACGGTGTGTTTCCCGTGGCGGCCGAGTGCTCAAAGAGGTGGGGCAGCAGCAGCAGCTGCACGCACGGACACCCACAGGCCACGGGAGGTGTCCAGTGACTCCAGTGTTCTGGCAGTGCATGTCAGTGTGTCCCGTCATTCAAAGGATTGGTCGATCCGTTTTTTGATGATTGCCTCTGCTGCTGCTGCCCCTCGTCGTCCTTGTCCGTGTGTGGTCCTTCTTCTCCTCTTCGCTTGTCTCCTTGATGTCTTCTTTATGCCGCTGCTTCTCGCCTCGTCCTACCCCTCCTCCTCGTCTTCAGCCGCGTACTCGCCCTGAACTTTCTTCTCGTGTTGCTCATCCTGGCCTGCATTCTCATCCTCCTCATGCTTCTCCTGCGCTTCATGTTTTCTGTCCCTCGCCCGCGACGACATCGTCGGATTCATCGTCGGCAACGCCGCCGTGATCGTCGTCGTCCTCCTCCTCCTTCTCCGCCTCCTCCTCCTCCTCCTGCCCCACCCCGTCTCCTCCATCTCCTCCAGGCTTCCTGAAGTCCACCAAGGACCTGCCTCCGATCTCCCGGGCGGCCGCGCTGCTGGGCTGGGCGCTGGTGGTGTGCGCCTGCCTGCTGGGGCTGCTGCGCGGGCACATGTCCGAGCTCTGCGCGGCGTGCAGAGGCCGGCCGGCGAGATCTGGGCCAACACCCCGCGGGGCTCGAGACTCTCGAGAGAACAGGGGCCCGGATCCAGATAAGCGGCCCGCGTGGGGGCGAGAGCGCCAGTCTTAGCGACGGGAGCACTGCGCCGATCCGGAAGTGAGGCCCGCGCTGCAGCGGGCACACCATGCTTGAAGCACCGACAGTGAATCACATGGCAAGAGAAGAAGTACATCGGGAAGCCAGCTCGGTCCAACACTGTGCTCAGAACAGGGATCTTCAGGACAGGGTCAGATTTCGCCGAGAGACGGGGGTCAACGCAAACGGGGGTCATCCAGAGCGGCGGATCTTGCAGGATCCTGCAGGGCTAGGGTCGCATTTGCCCGGGCTTGGGCGCAGGGTTCTGCAGGACCTTGCAGGATCCTGCAAGGCCTCACTGCCTCGGGCCTGGATGGGCCCAGGTCGGAAGGATCCCCGAACAACCGCGCCCGCTGCCGCCCGCTGCCCCTTCTCTGCCGCGAGCGCGGTCGGCCCGAGAGCGGCTGATTGGCAAGCGCGCTGTCACCGGGACGATGCGCGCGCGCGGGCGCCGAACAGCGCACTCGTCCGCTCTGCGAGCGGCACGCTGTGCCTCGCGCGAGGCCGCGGGACGGCCAGGCCGCGGGGCCGAGCGTGGCCGCAGGGAGGCCAGGGCGTGGGAGGCCGAGCAGCGGCCGCCAGGGGAGTGCGGAGCGGCCTCCGCGGGAGAAGCGCGGGGCACGGGGCCAGCGGGGCGGGAAGCCATGCGGAAGCCACGGGAGGCCGTGCCACAGGAGGCCATGCCACAGGAGGCCAGCGGAGGCCACTCAGCAGCGGTCGGCCAGGCAAGGCACGGCTGGCCTGGCCCGTGGAGAAGCCAGTCGTCTCGCAGGAGTGCTACAGAAGGCGGCCGCGCGACAGCGGCAGACCACGCGAGACAGGGCCAGTTCCTGTGTAAACCAGATGAGGCCAAGCCGTGGAAGGCATCAGGAGGCCACGCTGCAATGGCGCGCCACGCCCCACACAACACAACGAATGCCCCCCCCTCAATTCAAACGCTGTTCGAGGAATGACCCACCAAGGGTACATCAAGTATCCATCACGCTGACGCGACATCAATTGAATCCCTGTCGTAAGTGCGCGGAGCTGATGGCAGTGCTGAATGATGAGGATGAAGAGGGTGACGAGCGGAGGGTGATGGGGGAAGAGAAGATAATTGATGGTGATGATGATGGTGGTGGTGATGATGATGGTGAAGATGGCGATGATGATGATGCTGATGCTGATGATGCTGGTGATACGGATGATGATAGTGATACTAGTGGTGATCATCATGTCGCTGATGCTGCTGGTGATGTGACAGTGCTGATGATGAGGAGGTGGATGATGAAGATGATTTTGCTGAGGGGAAGTGGGAGGACGACGACCAGGAAGTTTGAAAGGATTACGTGGTGGAAAATATTAATGAGGTTGAGAGGGGAAGGGGGATAAGGGAGGATATGGGAAGAAGAACGATGCGGAGGATGGGGAAGGAGAGGAGGACGAGGAGAAGGAGGAGGATGATACGTTCTGGGGAGAACTGGCGGGAGGGTCCATTGTTTTCCCCCACTCAACCTGTGAAGTTGGGTCCTCGTCTTGAATCCGCAGCGCCGCGCCACACCTCCTTTTCATCCCGCCTCTCTCTCCTCCTCCTCCTCCTCCTCCCCCTCCTCCTCCTCCTCCTCCTCCTCCTCCTCCTCCTCCTCCTCCTCCTCCTCCTCCTCTTCCTTCTCCCATTCCTCCTCCTCCTCCTTTTCCTCCTCCTCCTCCTTTTCCTCCTCTTCCTCCTCCTCCTTTTCCTCCTCCTCCTCCTCCTGCTCCTGCTTCTCCTCCTCCTTTTCCTCCTCCTTCTCCTCCTCCTCCTCCTCTATTCCTCCTCCTCTATTCCTCCTCCTCCTCCTCCTCCTGCTCCTGCTTCTCCTCCTCTGTCACTCCGCCCACTTTGGCACACACTCCTCGCACGGGGTCCTGCCCCGACAGGGGAGCTCCACTCACGGCACCCAGGCGGGCGCCAGCACGACGTCCCCGCGCCCACTTCGGCACACTTCTGCAGCAACTCACGGGAGCCTGGTATACCCTTTGAGTTTTGTCGTTAGCGTGGATTAGCGTGGATGAGCGTCGATGAGCGTCTGGGAGTCGGCGAGATTGCGCCGATTTAGCGTCGGCCAGCGTCGATGAGCGTCGACTTAGCGTCGACGAGCGTCGATCCGCAAGAGCCGACGAGATGGTATGGGAGGCTCCCGCGAGCTACCACCGAAAATTCCGGTACACCCCTCACGGAGACGAGACCTTGGTGTCGTTCGGGCGTGTGCTTGTTTTTCTCGGCAAGGACCGCAGAGCATTCCAGGTCATCGTCGTCGTCGTCTTCGTCTTTTTCCTCGGCTTCGTCATCGTCGCCGTTCTCGTCGTCGTGCTCGTCGAGCTTGTCGTCTCACTCGTCGTCGATTTCGCACACGTCGTACTTCTTCCCGTCCTCGTTGTTGTGGTCGTCGTACTCGGCGTCGTCGTACTCGTCGTCGTCGTGGTCGTACGCTTCGCCGTTCCACTCGTGTGCGTACTTGTCGTCGTCGTCGTCGTCGTCGTCGTCGTCGTCGTATGTAGTTGTCGTCGTCGTCGTCGTATGTAGTCGTCGTCGTATGTAGTCGTCGTCGTCGTCATCGATGCCGTCGTCGCCGTCGTCGTCGTCGTCGTCGTCCTCGTCCTCGTTACTCGTCGTACTCGTCGTCGTTGTACACCTCGTCGTACTCGTCGTCATCGTCGTCGCCGTTGCGCCCATCGTCGTCGTCGTCGTCGTCGTCGTCGTCGTCGTCGTCCTACTCGTCGTCGTCGTCGGATTCGTCGTCGCCGCAATCGTCGTTGTCGTACTTGGCGCCGTAGCTGTCGTACTCATCGTCGTATTTGTCGGCGTCGTCGTACTCGTCGTCGTCCTCGTTGTTGTCGTCCTTCGTCCTCATACTTGTCGTCGTACTCGTCGTCGTATTCGTGACCGTCGTCGTCGTCGTCGTCGTCGTACCCTTCGTCGTCGCCGTACTCGTCGTCGTCGTAGTCGTCGTCGTACGATTAGTCTTCGTCGCCGTTCTCGTCGTACTCGTCGTCGTATTCGTCGTTCTCATCGTCGTTGCCACCGTCCGCGTCGTCGTCGAACTCGTCGTCGATGCCGTCGTCGTCGTACTCGTCGTCGTACCCGTCGTCGTACTCGTGGTGCTCGTCGTCGTGCTCGTCGTCGTCGTCGCCGTACTCGCCGTCGTCGTCGTCGTCCTCGTCCTCTTCCTCGTCCTCGTCTTCGTCGCCGTTCTCGTCGTATTCGTCGTCGTGCTCGTCGTGCTCGTCGTCTCACTCGTCGTCGATTTCGCACACGCCCTACTCGTTGTCGTCATCTTCGTCGTACCTCTCATTCTCGTTTTCCTTCCCGTCCTCGTTGTTGTGGTCGTCGTACTCGGCGTCGTCGACTTCGTCGTCGTGGTCGTACTCGTCGCCGTTCCACTCGTCATAGTCGTCGTCGTCGTCGTCGTCGTCGTCGTCGTCGTTGTCGTAGTCAACGTCGTCGTCGTCGTATGCGTCGTCCTATGCGTCGTCGTCGCCGTCGTCGTCGTCGTGCTCGTCGTACTCGTCGTACTCGTCGTTGTTGTACACCTCGGCGTACTCGTCGTAGTCGTCGTCGCAGTCATCGCCGTTGCGCCCATCGTTGTCGTCGTCGTCGTCGCCGTCGTCGTCGTCCTACTCGTCGCCGTCGTCGTCGTAGTATTCGTCGTCGCCGGCATCGTCGTTGTCGTACTTGCCGTACTTGGCGCCGTAGCTGTCGTACTCATCGTCGTACTTGTCGTCGTCGTACTCGTCGTCGTCCTGATTGTTGTCGTCCTCCGTCCTCATGTTTGTCGTCGTACTCGTCGCCGTATTCGTGACCGTCGTCGTCGCCGTAGTCGTCGTCGTACTCTTAGCCTTCGTCGCACTTGTCGTCGCACTCGTCACCGTATGCGTCCTTCTCATCGTCGTGGTCGCCGTCGTCGTCGTACCCGACGTCGTATTCGCCGTCGTCGTGGTTTTCGTCGTCGTTGTCCTCGTCTTCGAATGTTTCGTCGTCGACGTCATCGTCGTTGTCGTCGTCGCGCGTCGTCGTCGTCGTCGGCGTACTCGACGTCGCACTCGTTAGCGTCGTCGTACTCGTCGTCGTCGTACTCGTCGTATTTGTCGTAGTCGTTCTCGTGCTCGCACTCGTCGTTGTCGTCGGTGTCGCCGTTGTCCTCGTCGTACTCGTCGCCGCCGTCGTCGTCGTATTCGTTGTCGAATTCATTGTCGTACGCGTCGTCGTACTCGTCGTCGGACTCGTTGTCCTCGACGTCGTCATCGTTGTACTCGTACTCTTCGTCGTTCTCGTCGTCGTCGTACTCGTCGTCGCCACCGTCGTCGTAGTCGTCGTCGTCGTCGTCGTCGTCCTCGTCGTCGTCTTTGCCGTCTTTGTCGCCACCGTACACGTCGTACTCGGCGTCGTCATCGTCGTCGTCGGCGCCGTCATCGTCGTCGTCATCGTCCTCCTCGGCGTCGCCCACGTCGTCGTCACTGTCATCGTCGTCGTCAGCGTCGGCTGCCCTTTCTCATCGTCGTCGTCTTCGTCGTGCTTATCATCATCATCGTAGGCATCATCGTCGTCCTCGTCGCCGTCGTCGCCGTCATCGCGGTCGTCGGCTGCTCTTCCCCGTCGTCGTATTCGTCGTGCTCGTCGTCGTCGTCGTCCTCGTCGTGCTCGTCGTCGTCGTCGTCATCGTCGCCGCCGTACTTGTCGTGCTCGTCTTACTTGTCGCCGTCGTCGTCGTATTCGGCATCTTCGCCGTCGTCCTCGTTGTCGTCCTCGTCGCACCCGTACTCGTGCTCGTACTCGTCGTTGCCCTCGTCGTCGTACTCGTTGTCGTCGCAGTCGTAGTCGTCGTCGTCGTCGTCGTCGTCGTCGTCGTCGTCGTCGTTGTCGTCCTCCTCGTCAGCGCCATCGCCGTCGTCGTCGTCGTCGTCGTCGTCGTCGTCGTCGTCGTACCCGCCGACGTTGTCGTCGGCGTCTTCGTCGGCGTCGCCAGCGTCGTCATCATCCTCTTGCTCGTCATCATCTTCGTCGTCGCCGTCGGATTCGTCGTCGTCGGTGTCGTCGTCATTGCAATATTGGTCGTCGTCGTCGTCGCTGGCGTTGTCGGCGTCGTCGTCGTCGTCGTAGTAGTGGTCGCCATCGTCCTCTTCGTCGTTCCCGTCGTCGTCGATGGCGTCGTCGATGTCGTGCCGTCGTCGTCAGCTGCCCCTCCCCGTCGTCGTCGTCGTCGCCGTCGTTGTCGGCGTCGTCGTCGTCGTCGCCATCGTCCTCGTCGTCGTCGTTCTCGTCGTCGTCGATGGCGTCGTCGATGTCGTGCCGTCGTCGTCAGCTGCCCCTCCCCGTCGTCGTCGTCGTCGTCGTAGACGTCGTCGTCGTCGTCGTTGTACTCGTCGTACTCGTCGTGCTTATCGTTGTCGTCATCGTTGTCGGTGTCGTTGTCGTCGTCGTCGTCGTCTCCGTCGTTGTCGTCGTCGTTGCCATCGTCCGCGTCGTCGTCGTACTTGTCGTTTTCGTCGTCGTTGACGTCGTCGTACTCGTTGTATTGTCGTGCTCGTCGTCGTAGTCGGCATCGTCGTCCTCCTCGTCGGCGTCGTCGTCGTCCTTGTCGTCGTGCTCGTCGTCGTCGTCGTCGTCGTCATAGTCGGGAGCGGCGTCGTCGTCGTCGCCGTCTTCGCCGTCGTCATTGTCGTCGTCCTTCTCGTCGGCGCCGTCGACTGCCCTTCCCGTTGTCGTCGCTCTACTCGTCGTACTAGTCGTCGTCGTACTCGTCATCGTCGCTGTCATCGTCATCGTCATTCGTCGTCGGCCTCGTCTCCGTCCTCGTCGTCATCGTCCTCGCCGTCGTCTTCGTCGGCTGCCCTTCCCCGTCGTCGTCGTCGTCGTCGTCGTCGTCGTCGTCGTCCTCGTCGTTGTCGTCGTCATCGTCATCGTCGTTGTCGGCGTCGTCGCCGTCGCCATCGTCCTCGTCGTCGTCGTTGTCGTCGTCGTCGTCGGTTGGCATTCCTCATCGTTGTCGATGTCGCCGTCGTACTCGTCGTGCTCGAGGTCGGACTCGTCGTACGCGCTGCCGTCATCGTCTCCGTCGTCGTCGTCGTCCTCGCCGCCCTACTCTTACGAGTACTTGTCGTCCTCTTCGTCGCCATCGTTGTATTCGTCATTGTCGTCCTCCTCGTCGCCGGCGTCGTCGTCGTCCTCGGTGTCGTCCTCGCCGTCGACGTCGTCGCACTCGTCGTACTCGTCGAAGTCGACTCGGTCGTCGTCGTCGTCGTCATCGTCGTCGTCGTCCTCGTCGTTGTCGTCGTTGTCATCGTCATAGTCGTCGGCGTCTGCCCTTCCCCGTCGTCTCCGTCGTCGTCGTCGTGGCCATCGTCCGCGCCGTCGTCATCGTCGTCTTACTCGTTGTTCTCGTCGTCGTAGTCTTCGTCGTCCTCATTGTCGTCGTCGTCCTCGTCGTCGTCGTCCTTGTCGTCGTAGTCGTCTGCTGCCCTTCCCCGTCGTCGTCGTCGTCGTACTCGTCGTACTCGTACTCGTCGTGCTCGTTGTGCTCGTCGTCGGCGTCGGCGTCGTCGTCGTCCTCGTCCTCGCCCTCGTCCTCGTCCTCGTCGTCATCGTCGTCATCGTCGTCGTCCTCGTGCTCGGCTGCCATTTCCCTTCGTCGTCGTCGTACTCGCCGTACCTGTCGTCGTCGTAGTCGTGCTCGTCTGTTTCATCGTCTTCGTCGGCATCGTCGTCGTTGTCGTTGTCGGTTGTCGTCGTCGTCGTCGTCGTCGTCGTCGTCGTCATCGGCGTAGTCGTCGGCGTCTGCCCCTCCCCGTCGTCTCCGTCGTCGTCGTCGTCGTCGTCGTCGTCGTCGTCGTCGTCGTCGTCGTCGTCATCGTCCTCGCCGTCGTCCTCGTCGTTGTCCTCGTTGTGCTCGTCGACGTCGTCGTCCTCGCTGTTGTACTCGCACTCGTACTCGTACTCGTCACCGTCGGCTGCTCTCCCCCCCTCCGCTCACGGCCTCTCCCCACATGGCACGCTCGCTCTCGGCGCCCGCAGGCTACGCGCCGGTGTCCCGCCAGATGCTGGCCGCCGAGGCTGCCGAGGAGGCCTGTGGGGCGTCAGTCGACGATCGAACAAGAAAGCCCCCACCCCCCCCACCATCCAGAATCCCACGCGAGCTCAGTTCTTGGCACCCCCCCACACGACACTTTCTCGCCGCCCAGAAGTGACCGATACCCCCCACCACACCGGCATAGGCATAAACTTTTGGATGATGCGCTTCAGCGCCCCGGCGGCGCCCCTGGCGCCGCCACTTGCGCGCTCCGCGCGCCGGGGAGGGGGATCCAGCTCAGATCCAAGAACTCCGCGCGGACCGCCAAAAGTGTATGTTGGTGCCGTTTTGGGTTCCTCTAGACTAGACGTAAAATGGCGGCGAGCCTGGGGGGAAGTGAGGAATGGCGGGCCTTCTCAGAAGGCTCGGAAGTCCCTTGGCCTTCTGAGAAGTTTCCTCAGCCTTCCCCGAAGACATAGAACATTGTTCGGAAGGCGCGAGGGCTTCTGAGAAGCCCCATCGCTTTCTGAGAAGGCCTTCTCCTTCCCACTTCCCCCCTCGCTCCCCGCCGGGTAAGGAGTGAACTTTGGTGCGGGCCCATTGGTTCCCCCGATCGCTGAACGCGATGCGATAGTAGCGTCTTGCGCGCTCGGGTTTGGTCCCCTCGCGGCCCTCCAAAGGTCCGCGCACCAAATGTTACTCTTACCCAGAGTCACCTCTTGCGTGTAGCCGAGTCAGGGGGGGCGGGCCCAGGGGGGGTTCAGACCCCCAGCCCAGCGTCCCCATTACGCCTCTCCCTCCCCCTTCTTCTCACGCTCCTCGTCCTTGTCGTCCTTCTCTCCTCCTGCTCCTTTTCGTCGTCGTCCTCCTCGCCCTCGTCCTCCTGCTGCTGCTCCTCCTCCCCCCCTCAGGGGGGCGGGGATAGGCCCAGGATAGGCCCTGAGATCTGTCAGAGATCCGAGTCATCAGGCGCCCGGGTGTCGGGCCACCCCTCCTCCCGCAGTATCGGCTGCACCTCGCGGAGAGGGGGCCAGGTGGCCCACCCTGTCCCGCCTCCTACCGAGGGCGAGCTGCATTCCGCCCTTCGGAGACATCACATCGATGAAGTTAAGAGCCCCGAGTCATCAGGGCCTGGGGGCGGTCAAGGAGTAGCTCCTGATTCTTGCCCCAGGGGCCCAAACTGGAGCGGTGCCAGACTAGAGTGGTCCTGGATAGCTCGGGCGTCCAGCCACGCCCGAATCATCGGGGCTGGGGGTGGTCATGGGTGATTTTGGTTCGTGCCTGGGGGGCCTAAACTGGAGTTGGCCCGGAACGGAGGTATCCTGGATAATTCGGGCGTCCAAAATTTGTGTGCGGGATTTTGCTCGACACGCCCAGCGATTTCGGCCCATTTTGGGCCCCAGGACCCTCACATGTCGATTCGGCTCGAGACATGCCTCAGACAGATTTGGCCTGGGGCTCCAGTGGTGTAATTCTTGGCGTTGCATTTTCCAAGACGCCGGATATCAGGGATGCTCGAGGTTTTCGGGCGTTCTCGTTGCTCCTCGTTAGGGTTCCAGCCTCGGGGTGCTCTCCAGCAGCCGCGCCTCGCCGAGCGCGTTCCCGGGGTTCGGGGGTGGACAGGCCTCCTACCCTGACACGTCGATCAGCGAATTGGCCAGTTTCGCTTCGCGAGAGGGCGTCGTGGCCGTCACTCTTGCGGGTCCAGGTCCGTTGGTTTCGGTCCCAGGCCGTTTTCACTAAAAGGGAGGTTTACTAAAGGGAAGTTTGTCCACCGCCGAGGGGTGCCCGACAAGGAGCCGAGCGGCCGCCAAAAAGAGCCGAGGGCGGGCCTGGGGCTCAAGGGTCAGGGAGGGGACGCCCCGACCCACGGTCGGCCATGGATCACCGATGGGAGGCCTGATGGTGGCCATGTCGCCTGGGCACCCCTCCTCCTCCTCCTCCTCCTCCTCCTCCTCCTCCTCCTCTTCCTCCTCCTCCTCTTCCTGCTCCTCTTCCTCCTCCTCCTCCTCCTCCTCCTCACCAGCATCAGCATCAGCATCAGCATCAGCATCATCATTAGCATCAGCATCAGCATGATCATCATCATCCTCCTCCTCCTCCTCCTGCTCCTGCTCCTCTTCCTCCTCCTCCTCACCAGCATCAGCATCAGCATCAGCATCATCATCAGCATCAGCATGATGATCAGCATCAGCATCGTCATCATCATCATCATCAGCATCAGCAGCAGCATCAGCATCAGCATCAGCATCAGCATCAGCATTAGCATCAGCATCAGCATCAGCATCCTCCTCCTCCTCCTCCTCCTCCTTCTCCTCCTCCTCCTCCTCCTCCTCCTCCATCATCATCATCATCATCATCATCATCATCATCATCATCATCATCATCATCATCATCATCATCATCATCATCATCATCATCATCATCATCATCATCATCATCATCATCATCATCATCATCATCATCATCATCATCATCATCATCATCATCATCATCATCATCATCATCATCATCATCATCATCATCATCATCATCATCATCATCATCATCATCGTCGAAAGAGCGTGTTCTACCGCTGCTGGCGGAAAACCGGGGGGGTCACTACCGGTTCGAACCCCTCCCCCCCCCTTTTGAAAACCGGGGGGGGTCACTACCGGTTCGAACCCCTCCCCCCCTCACCCCCAGTTCATCATGAAAAGGGGGGGGGGTCACTACTGGTTCGAACCCCCCCCTCCCTCGAAAACCGGGGGGGGTCACTACCGGTTCGAACCCCCCCCCCCCTCCTCGAAAACCGAGGGGGGGTGCGGACAGTGGTGGGGACGGTGGTGGTGGGGACAGTGGTGAGGGGACAGCGGGACATTGGGGGGGACAGTGGGACAGTGGTGGGGACTGTAGTGGTGGGGACAGTGGTGAGGAAAATGGTGGGAACGGTGGGGACAGTGGACAGTGGTGGGGACGGTGGTGGTGGGGACAGTGGTGTGGGGACAGGGGGAGGTGGAAACAGTGGGACAGTGGAGGGTACAGTGGTGGTGGGGACAATGGTGAAGGCGGTGGCGAGGACGGCGGTGGGACAATGGGACAGAGGTACAGTGGGGACAGTGGTGGGGACAGTGGGGACAGTGGTGGGAACAGTGGGACAGCTCAGTGGGACAGCGGAGGAGTCAGTGGGACAGTGGGGACAGTGGGGATAGTCGGGCAGTGGTTGGGGCCGTGGAGAAAGTGGGGAGAGTGGAACCGTGGTGGGAACAGTGGTGGGGACAGTGGGGACAGTGCGACAGTGGTGGGAGCACTGGTGGGGACAGTAGGGACGGTGGTGGAACCAGCGGGGACAGTGGTGGTGAGGATAGTGGTGCTGGGAACAACAGTGGGGGATGTGGCGCGGACGGTGGTAGGGACCGGGAGTCGTTTGCTGGCGGTGAGTGGGGGGGTGGGGAGGGGTTCGAACGGGTAGTGACCCCCCCTCCAGTCTTCGAGGGGGGGGGGTTCGAGCCGGTAGTGACCCCCCCCGGTTTTCGAGGGGGGGGGGGGTGGTAGGGGAGGGGGGTTTTGCCTGGGGAGCGGAGGGGGGGGGGGGTCCAGCAGGGGGGGGATTTTCGGAGGGGGGGGGGGGGGACCCCCGGGTTCCGGAGGAAGAGGGGGGCAATTTTCCATAGTAAAGCGGCGGTGGATCACGCTCTCTCTCATCATCAGAACGTTGGGTTGCACCACCGGGGATCTATCGCCGACCTGTGGGAGATATATTGGGTGTTCCAAAAGTGCCCTGCCATCGGGGATCGAAGGAGCTGCCATCTCTTCCTCGGCGGAAGGCGGCGGAAGGCGGCGGAAGTCAAACGAGGCCGCCTCCGCCGGCGGAAGCTGGCGGAAGCTCGGCGGAAGCTGGCGGAAGCAAAAGTCGACATCCCAAGAGATGACAACATGTTTGGGTTTAGGATTTCCGAAATCGGCCATATCGCCGATTCCAGGCCGATGTTTCCCCGCCGAGCTGGTCCCCCACCTATCGTTCCTCCCACCAGGAGAGCGGCGGCGCCGTGGGCAGGAGACACGGACCTCTCGCGACTCGCAGGTCTTGGATCTTTTTCTGGTCGCCTCTGGGTTTTTTGGGGGGGAAGGGCGTCGTCGTCTGGGGTCGGCACCCAAACATGCCTAGTACTATGTGTGCGTCGTTCTCGCAAAGGCGACGCGCACGCTCAGAAATCTCATAGTATAAGATCCGTGGCGGGCGCTTGCAGGCTACGCCGCTCGGGAAACGATATGCTATCATCTTTGGGTGCTGTATGTTCGGACTTGTGCCTCCAACATCTACACACAGTGCTACTCTGTCCTCCTGCGTCCCATGGTTGGATGCGGCCGGCACAACTGGCTAGGATGGACCTTGGGAAGGGGTCCAGGAGTCCGTTTTCTGCGGATGTTGGACGGGGGAGGAGGAGGAGGAGGAGGAGGAGGAGGAGGAGGAGGAGGAGGAGGAGGAGGGAGGAGGAGGAGGAGGAGGAGGAGGAGGAGGCGGAGGAGGAGGAGGAGGAGGAGGAGGGGGAGGCGGAGGACTACAAGGATGGGGGCCGATTGAGGTTTTTTGGTCCTCCAGTGGCCCCCAGAGGCGCGAGACTCTGCCGGCTCGAAAAAATCGCGCCGCAGTTTGTGTTCTTCAGTTTCAGCGTCCGGGGGCCGCTTCTGGGCCGCAGGGCCGCTGGGAGACGGCCCCTGGGTCACATCCAGAGCCGTCTCCCAGCGGCCCTGGGGGCAGGCATGTCCTCGCGTCGCCGTCGTCGTCGCCGCCGCCGCCGTCGTCGTCGCCGCCGCCGCCACCGTCGTCGCCGTCGTCGTCGCCGTCGCCGTTGTCGTCGTCGCCGTCGCCGTTGTCGTCGTCGTCGTCGTCGCCGCCGCCGCCGTCGCCGTCGTCGCCGCCGCCGCCGCCGCCGCCGCCGTCGCCGCCGCCGCCGTCGCCGCCGCCGTCGTCGTCGTCGTCGTCGTCGTCGTCGTCGTCGTCGTCGTCGTCGTCGTCGTCGCGGGGTCTGGGCCAGAGCGGGGGCCGCTTCTCCAAGGGCCTCGCGGGGGGGCGGCGTGTTTCGCGAAGGGCCTCGGGCGTCGCGCACCGCGGGGGGCTGGAGGGTTTCTCCGAAGGGCTTGGGCGACCCGTCCTCCTCCTCCTCCTCCTCCTCCTCCTCCTCCTCCTCCTCCTCCCTCGTCCTCCTCCTCCTGCTGCTTCTTCTCCTCCTCCTCCTCCTCCTCCTCCCTCGTCCTCCTCCTCCATCACATCCTCTCCCTCCACCTCCTCCTCCTCGGGTCGCCTACGGCCCCGGGGGAAACCGTTCAGGCCGAGGGTCAGAGAGCGCCCTTCGACCACCAGAAAAGGGACGTCAGGGTGGTCAGACGCCTCGCCGGTCTAAGCCGACGAAGGTGTGCAGAGTCCAACCCTTCGCTACTGTCCACAGTTTCGGCTTGACGCCGGGTGTGGCGCATCTATGTCAGCTTGACCGAACAGGTCGGTTGCGTCCCTTGACGTCCGTTTGGGGTGCTCTGCAGACCTGACCCCCCAGCCCTGTTCAAGAGAGTCGGCGGCGAGCCCGGGGGGGGGCGCGAGACGGGGCGGGCCTGCTCAGAAGGCTCGGAAGCCCCCCGGCCTGGTGAGAAGTTGTCTCAGCCTTCCCCGAGGACACGAAAGACTTCTCGGAAGGCGGGAGGGCTTCTGAGAAGTCCCGCCGCCTCCTGCGAAGGCCTTCTCCTTCTCACTTCCTCCCCTTCGTTCGGTAGCAAATCATGGGAGCCTGGTGTACCTTCATAATTCCGTCTGTAGCGTCGGTTAGCGTCGATTGGCGTCTGGGAGTTGATGAGGTAGCGCCGATTTAGCGCTGGTCAGCGTCGATTGGCGTCGATTTAGCGTCGATCAGCGTCGACTGGCGTCGATTAGCGTCGACTCGCAAAGGCCAACAAGATGGTACGGTGGGGGCGCTGGTTAAGGAATGTGCCCAGGAGGCTTCAGACCCTGGGGGCTTCCTTATCTAATGAAGGGCGGCGGCGATATCCATGGCCAATCCACGATTGGTGTTCCACTGGCCTCCAGACCCTGGATTCCTTATCTACGGGTTCCTTATCCAATGCCTCCGCCGGGTTCCTCGACCCGGCGCAGGCGCGGGCCAGGGGCCTGGCGGCGCGCGGTGAGCGGGCGGCGGCGGCGGGCCCCCGCGTGGGCGGCTGGGGCTCGGCCCGCAGGAGGGGTTCTTTGTGCACGCACGGGCCCCTTCGGGCCCTCGACGGGTGCCAAACAGGTGCCCCCGCCGTAGGGGAGGCTCCCGTGAGCTGCCGCCAGGCCCGCGCTCGCCGCCGAGAGAGGGGCCGGGCCGCGCGGCGAGGAGCGGGCTCGCCGACGAGGGCGGGAGGGCCGGGAGGGCCGCGCTGCTGGCCAAGAAGACGGAGGAGCGCGGCCCCGCCGATGCTGCCGCTGCCACCGGCCTGCGACGAAGGGGGAGAACAACCTGGAGAGGGAGGAGGAGGAGGAGGAGGAGGAGGAGGAGGAGGAGGAGGAGGAGGAGGAGGAGGAGGAGGAAGAGGTGACCGGGGGCGGAGGCGGAGGCGGAGGCGGAGGCGCCGACGCTGCCATTGCCGCGCGGAACCCTGCTGGGACTTCCTTTCGCCGCGAAAAAATTCACGACGGGAGGTTTTTTGGCAATCCTTGGCGCTTCGCGTAGCCCCGGCAGACCAGCCAGTCCATTGGATGCTCGTTCTGGGGGGCCTTCCTAGGGCCCACCTGACAGATCTGTTCGACTCTACTTCGACCCCAGTTCGACTCAAGTTCGACTCAGGTTCGATTCAATCGACGGACGTTCGACGCAGTTTCGACGCACGAGTGGAGCGAGTGGCTCCAGGAAAGTCCCCCAGAATGAGCATCCAAGAAAATCACGACGGGAGTTTTGTTGGCAATCCTTGATGCTGCGCGAATGCCCACTAGCCCACCAGTGCGCTCTCGTGCGGAATTTGGGCCGCTGCTTGTTAGCCGCGTTTCTTGACGGCGCCTGGCATCCCTGCGCGCTCGCGAACAAAAAAGTATTCCCACCAGCCCGTCCAGAAGCAGATCGCCAGGCGAGGTGCCTTGATCAGGGAAGTGTAGCGGAGTGCAGTCAGATAGCCGCTTGGTAAGCGTTTTCTCGGAGGCCTCTTGGAGCCATCTTGGGGCTCACGACGGGAGGTTTCGGGCAATTTTCGGCTTCCGGGGGCCCTCGCTGGGCCCCCCTGGACCGTCAAACGCGGTTCGGGGTGAAGGCCTCCTCCTCCTCCTCCTCGATCCTCGTTCCTCCATCCTCGATTCTTGATCCTCAATCCTTCTCCCCCTCCTCCTCGTCATCCTCCTCTTCCTCTTCCTCCTCCTCCTCCTCCTCCTCCTCCTCCTCCCTTCCCTGGGAGGAGCTGCTGGCCGAGCACGGGAAGACACCGCTGGAGCACCACTTCCGCGTCTCGCTGATCTGGGAAGCGCAGGGCGTGGACCTGGCCCGCCGCCCAGAGAGCCCACTGCGGCAGGATCGCCGCGGCGTTTCGGGACCGCCGCGACTCGGGATCGCCGCGGCACCGCCGCGCTTCGGCATTGCCTTGGATCGGCCGCCGTCGCCGTCGTTTTGGTCGCCGTCTTCGTCGTCGTCGTCGTCGCCGTCTTCGTCCTCGCCGCCGTCGTACCCGCCGCCGCCGTCGTTGCCGTCCTCGTCGTCGTCGCCGTCGCCGTCGCTGTCGTCGTCGTCGTCGTCGTCGTCGTCGTCGTCGTCGTCGTCGTCGTCGTCGTCGTCGACCGCTCCAGGCCGGAAGGCGGCCCGCGGCGGCCGGGCTCCTTCTCGGGCGCGGCGGGGAGGGCGGCTCTCCGATCGCAGCGATCGCCGCGTGGTCGGGCCGACCCCGCCACGTCTCGTCCCCGCTCCGCCCTTCCTGCTCCGCCCTTCCCTGCTCCGTCCCTCCCTGCTCCTCCCGCCCTGCTCCTCCCTCCCTGCTCCTCCCCCCCTTCCTCCCCGCCTCCTCCCCCCTCCTGCCCCCTCCTCCAGCCTCTCGAGGAGGATGCCCCGAGCGCCACGCTGCTGAACGTGCAGGTGGGCCTGATGAGCGGCAAGGACATGGTGACCATCAGCTGCGTCACCACAGCTGGCAAGTTCAGCCTCGTGATCCCGGTTGTCATTCTGCTGACCCTCAGCGCCTCTGCCGGTTCATTTACGGCCTCCGTGAGGCGGAGAGGAGCCTCAGCGTCATGAGCAAGGCGAGGTACGTCACCGCCATGACGCTGGACCAGAACGTCCATTACAGTTCAGCGCGTGTGCCTCATGGATGCCCAGTGGCGCCGCCACAGGAGCAACCTGCAGATATTCCGTAACGTACTCTTTCCACTCCTGTGAAGCAGGTCTGTTTCAGCTACCTCATGCGCATCTTATGCGTCGCACATGCAGGCCGAGACGACCACGAAACAGAACTTCGAGCTGCTGGGGCAGTTGTCCACCGATGCCTCCTCACAGACGTGAGCTTCGCCTGGGTGAACACCAAGCGCGAGCGTATGAGGATGGCAGCGGACCACGGAGCGTTCGTGGCCGGCCAGGACTCTGCGCTCAAAGACATCGCGGGCACCTAGAAGATCTTGGAGGACACCATCTCCACGGCCGCGTCGCAGAGCCACAGCGTCGTGCAACTCTCGAGCTGCCGCTCGCATGCACGGGCGTCCGCGCGCCTGCAGGCTCCAGAAGCCAGCCCCGCGGCGCGGCAGCTCATCAGGAGATGCCGTCCCTTTTGACCTCCCGCCGCCCGCGTCGCACCTGCGGGCGGCGAGGCGTCCCGGTACTGCTGCCGACGAGGACGCTGTCGCGAAGAAGGGGCCGCATCGCGGACGTCATTACGAAGCTAAAGTCGGCGATCTCCGAGTCCGCAGAGGATGGGCCTGGCGCGCCAGTGCAGCTCCAATGCACGGCAGCGCGCGGCCCTGGAGGTCATCCTACACTTACTCCTCTTTCGTCGATCTCGCGTCATCTCCTGGAGTGAGCGCTTACTCGCCGACAGCGGTCGGGCGGTGTAGCCGTCCATCGGGAGCGGTGAACGGGGCGTGGCCCTGCGTTGCCCAACGCGCACCTGCGCACTGCATATGCTTCATCATGACAGCACTCTCGCGCACGGTGACACTCTAGCGCGTCGACGCGCGCAGCAGTGCTTGTCCCAGGGCACCGCTGAGGAGGTCATGCTAAGAGCCGATCAGCGTGTGACGCCAGCCACCAGGCTCACCGTCATCAGCTCGACAACGCCACGCAGAAAGACACGGCCGTTGTGTTCACACGCGACTCCACCTTTTAGGCAAAGACAGCTGGCCGAACCAGCCCCGCTGCACTTGCAACGGATCGATCGGAAATAATCGTGCCTCCTCCTGAACGCGCCGTGCAGCACGAATACACGTGCGTCTTGACAGCCACGGCCACGTGCCGATGGGTTTGACCAATTATGAGCCCGATGTGCCGTCGACAGGGCACTCGGTGACTGAGCTACGAGGAGCACCACGACGGTGACCTGACCACGCGCTCACCACGGACCGCGTTCGACACTATCACCATCGAGAAGTCGTTCCTTACCATCAGTGGCCAGCCAGCCTCCTCGTCAGCTGCAAGGGCCTACTGGTCTCGCAGTAGAGTGGCGCCACGGGAGCAACAACAACAACAATCATTTGAAAACCGTTCGCTCCTACCTGCTCACGTGCCAATCAATCCATATATCCCGAGCCCTCGGTGCCTGCCCTCGTCGTCTTCGATCGTTCCCCCTTGGGGGCATATCTTCCTTACCTGCCACGTGCATTTAGTGCAGCCCCTAAAACAGGGGAAGAGAGGACAGGCGGAAGGGGGAGGGATAATAATGCAGCACGAGAGAAATTACCAGGAGGGGGGCAAGGAGCAGAAAACAAATGGTATAACCAGACGGGCAGGTTGGGTGGGCAGAGACCCATAGCGGGCAGGTTTGGAAGGCGGGCACAGGCGACAAGGTCGAGCAGGCGGGTTGCTGAAGCGTGGGTCCTGCATGAATCGCCAGGAAATCTCGAGCGATAGCGCGATCCTACGTAAATCGTGAGAAGGCCAAAAGCGAGAGCGTGATTCTTGGGGCCGAGGGCGCATCGTCTGCATTACTTGCGAGGGCGTCCCGCGCGAGAGCGCGATTCGTATATAAATTGTGAGTAAGTCCCGCGCGAGAGCGCGATGGTGGAATAAAGTGGGAGCAGTTATCAGGCGGGAGCCGTTGTTGTTGTTGTTCGGGTGCCAGGGGCGCAGTTTGAGCAGGAAGATTTTTCCTGATAGGAAATAGGGTGCGAGCCCCAGGAGGGGCACTTCAATTGAAAAATACCTATGCTCTCGGAGAGGGGGATCAACACAAATTCTTCTTCAGAAGTCAGAGGTCAACAACAACAGCAACAACAACAGCACCATCATCACCCTCAACGACAGCGACATCTTTGTCGCGAAGTTCCGGCGGGCACAGCGCGCCAGGCATTCGATGGGTGTTACGTGAAAGTGCCCAGCTATGGCACTTCAGCACCGCCTGCACTACGAGGCGTTGGCACGGCAACGCGCCACCGCAGAGGTTAGCGCTGCAGTGCCGGCCACACCTCCCTACATACGAACTTGCATGCATCGCAGTAGCCTGGCATGCTGGTCACGCTGTGCCGACGCTGGGACAGCTACGAGCAGCAGCCGGGGTAGGCACTAGCGACACTGTGCTGCTGTTGGCCGCATCCGGACAGCACGCGCCACGTCGGGGCCATTCGGCAGTCACCAGACCAGCACGCGGACATTTCGACAGAAGTGACTGGTAAGCACTAGTAGCGAGAGACACGCTGCCGCAACAAGCTGGACAAGCTGCGTCCGCGCGCCTACTAAGCAAGGCGCGCGAGTGTTTTCCAGCCACGCTGCAGCGCAAGCGCCACAACGGCCAGCTACGCCTGCCGGCGCCTACCCACTAAAGAGTGCCAAAGGCGAGTGGCCGAAGGCAGAGCCAAGGAGCGAGCCTGGCATGAAGGCACGATCAGTGTTGCGGTTTGAGCGCACGCCGGGCGCGATCTGCGCAGGGCCCCCAGAAGCAACACCCTGCTCCTGGCTGTCAGGCAACATCGGCCGATCGACACCACATCGGGTGATGACCCTGTTTTTAGGTTTTCTCTGCCGTGGGGTGCCGCTGCCATTCTCGACCCTGGTCCTGGTCAGTTCATCACACGTACGAGTTGACCACGGACGAGCCAACTGGGCCCCACAGGGTTCTCGACATCCCGTTCGGGCCGAGGCCCCTGAACCATGGGTGGATTGTGCCGGGGTGCTCTGGCACCTCATTGCAGGTGGCCCTCTGCGGCCGAAGTGCTGCGGAGGGACATTTTCCACAGCCCCGCAGCACTGACTCGAATAGGAGCATGCTTGCGCGCCCGCTGCAATTCGGGCTTGCAGCGCGCACGCGGACTAGCACACAGAAGCGGAAAAACAGGACCGCCGCGATGCTCTTGCCATTGCTGTCATGTCTTCTACCTTCCACCCATGCCACCCGCAATTCCAGTTCCTCTTCCTCCTTTTCCTCTCCTCTTCTCCTCCTCCCCCACCCCCTCCTCCTCCTCCTCTTCCTCCTCCTCTTCCTCCTCCTCCTCCTCCTCCTCCTCCCCCTCCTCCTCCTCCTCCCATCTTCCTCGTCCTTATCCTCCTTTCTGATGATGGGCGGTTTTCAGCTGGCATGCACTTCAGTGCCAAGATGGCGAAACACACTGGAATATAATGGGAGCCGATATTGGCACAGTGGCCAACACACTAACTGCAAATATCCGCATGACCAAACATGGCGAAGAGAAGTGGAATATAGGAGGTGCCCGCGAGGGCGTAGAGCAAGTGTGTTTGCGGCCTGTTGGGATAATAGGAAAGGGATCGTTACCATCATCAAACCAAAGATGGACATGGTGTAGGGACGACCGAAACATACATGCAGGTGGGCGGCACTGTGAATAGGTTCTAATGTGAGCTGGCTTGTTTGGTGTTGAGCTGTAGTTGTCCCTGTGGTCACCCGGTTCCACTGGGTACGCTAGGCCGCTGAAAAGGGTAGCTGGTTGCAAATAGGTGTCTTGCTCTTCCTTGTTAGGGAAGCAGCAGCGACTGGGCTGTTGCGTTCATCCTCCTCCTTTCCTCCTCCTCCTCCTCCTCCTCCTCCTTCTCCTCCTCCCCCTCCTTCTCCTCCTCTTCCTCCTCCTCCTCTTCCTTCTCCTCCTCCTCCTCCTCCTCCTCCTCCTCCTCCTCCTCCTCCTCCTCTCCCTCCTCCTCCTAGTTGATTTTGGCTCAGGCGCTTGCCTCACCCTGCAGATTCCTAGGAGCACCTGCTCCCATTCCGCCCCCCTCGCGGCGATGGTGGTGGCGGGGCGATTCCACTGGGTTCGGAGGCACATCCTTCAAGGCGTCGGCACCCACACCGCGTTCGGCTTGGCCCCAGTGCAAGGGATGTCCAAGGTCAAGATCGCCTTG